TATATATGACTACATACTAAATCATTGATTTGTAAAAGTTGCCTGTCAACACAAAAAATTCTAAAACACACTAACTATAATGTATTAAATATATCACAAGTCTGTAAGCTATTAATAATGATCAACAAATTACCCACAATATGACTGGGGGGAAAGCTGAGGTCCAGTTCTCAATGAAAATGGGTGCCCTACTAATGTGATAACTCAAACAACTAAACAGACCTCTGTGCTGACTCATGTCATGCTCAGTGCACTGAACAAATAGGAAATATCAGAGGCATGCACACACAAATGCAAAAGAACAATTCAGAAGCAAACACATGGTGTGTAAATTAAGACCCAGTTATTTACAAAAGCAGAATCACGGATTCTGAGATATTTTCATTTCAAAGAGATCTTAGGGTCTGGAACAAAAAAGGAAGTATATGTCACCAGCATCTGAAATGAGAACTCTGACGAGGACATACACTAAATTTTTCTTCCACAAAAAGAAGACAGGTTAGCAAAATGAACTTCCCCAAAGACAGACTTTTTTATTTTTGATCTTTTTGAGACAGGGTCTGGTCTCCCTGTAGCCCCAGCTGGCCTAGAACTCACTATGAAGACCAGGCTGGCCTTGAACTCACTGAGCCTCCTGAGTGCTCAGATTAAAGGCATGTGCCAACACCGCCGGCTTCAAAGACAGACTTTTTAAAAAAATATTTTATTTTTTTAATGTATATGAGTATGTTGCCTGCATGTATGTGAGTGTACCTGTGTCATCCAAAGACAGACTTTTCAAAAACAAAAAAAAATTTAAGAAATGGCTTTACCCACAGTCTCATGTGTAAGACAGTTTTCCTACTAAGTCAATGCCACGCAGGGTGCAAAGTAAAAGCCACCCATTACACATCCCCAGCCTCTTCACCATGTCACTCCAGAAACCAAGAAACAGCAGACCTTGGATCCTCACATGGTCCACAGGATCCCTGGTCCATCTCAGGCAAGACCAGTAGGGCCACTTGTCTCCACAGCGGCCTCCAGTCATTGCCACCGTGAATGGAACTTGCGAGTGGCAGGTCCGGGGCACCTTCACAGAAACAGCTCAAAATCCCACACTGCATACACACTCCTCTTTCTTGGTTATTCGGAGACGAGCAGCTGAGAAGTATCACGACCAGGTTACATCTTTCCCTATGGTCCTAAATTAGGATGCCGAAATGCACGGGCCACACCTGTGACATGGTGCCAGGTGTCCCCTCAGCCTCGTGTCCCCTCACCCCGGGTGTCCCCTCAGCCTCGTGTCCCCTCAGGCCGGTGTCCCCTCAGCCCGGTGTCCCCTCAGCCTCGTGTCCCCTCAGCCCGGGTGTCCCCTCAGCCCGGTGTCCCCTCAGCCCGGTGTCCCCTCACCCCGGGTGTCTCCTCTGCCCGGTGTCCCCTCAGCCCGGTGTCCCCTCGGTCCAGGATGTCCCCTCGGCCCGGAAGGTTCCCGCAGCGCCGAGGACCTTGGCGGGGCGGAGGGAGGCCCGGGGCGATCCCAGGGGAGGGGTGGGGGGCGGCAGCTCACCTTGTTGAGGTGCGGGTCCCGGGTTAGCAGGTAGCCGCGCTGGTGGGTGTGGCGGCGGCTGGGGGCTCGGGGCTCCATGGCGGGCACGGTGGCCGGGTGGCGGCGGCAGAGCGAGGCGCAGAGTGCTGCGGGCTGCGGCCGCGCGAGGGAAGGCCCCGCGGCAGGGGGCGGGCGTGGGTGGTGAGATGGGGTGGACACGGCGGGAGGAGCCCGCGCCGAGCCGCAGCCGTGGCGGAGCAGCCAGCGGAGAAGCGCTGAGTCATGGCGGGATCGCAGAGCCCGCGTGTGAGGAGGAGGAGGAGCCCGGCTGGAGGCCCGCTGAGTGGGGACGGGCGGCGCGGACGCGGGGTGGGTGGGGGTGAGGGGTGGGGTGGGGGAGGCGTGGGGGGCGGTGCCAGACTCCCCACGGGCCAGAGTCACTGTCGTAAGACCTCGACCTCAACTGTGAGCATCAGCTTAAAGCGCTCTGTCCGCTGCCCTGCCCTCCCTGCCCATCCTGGATGCCACCCTGGGGCCTGATGCAGGAGGGGATCAGCCTGCACCCGGAAAGGCCTGGCAATGGGGAACCGTACAGTATCCGGTGAAAATCTCATGTGAATGCGCTAAGAGGACCAGTACTAGTGTGCGCAGATCAATGATGAACAGCAATTTATTCTGTCTGAATGTTGTCAACTCAGTCTTGCAAGACTTTGGTGTTTCTTTGACCCAAGAAGAGGATCAGAATAAAAGCTTTTTCAGAACTAAAATGCTGTGGTTGTATTACTGGTGTTTATTCTGTTTATTCTTGAAGGTTCAAAGACCAGAGAAGTAGTCAGATCCCAGTCAGCCAAAAGGAATGTTTCTATATAATCCAACTTTACATACTGATAATGGGGTAGGGGGTGAAGCATTGCTTGTAAATCTCCATGAAGTAGACACATATCCAATCACTGTGTTCCCTTCATTGCTAATTTTGCACTTGACCCTATCAGATTTGTAACAGCAATGGCTTTTTGGCCTTGCTTATTTTCAGAAGTTCTTTGACCTAGTGTTTGAATTATCTAGAATCAGTTGGTTTTATAGAGAACATTATATTAACATCACAAAGATCCTGAAAAATATTTCTTGCTTAAAATAACACATTTCATTGTAAATTTTATCCATAAATAATTAAGCTCATCCGAGAAGAAGGAAAGTAAGTTTTACAAAACTTACTCTCCTAAATTAGCTGAGACACATTACAATTAGAGTGCTTTATGTGAATTAAAAAGTTTAACAGCAGGCCTGGAAGGTGCTTAAAGAGAAACAAAAATGTTACTACAACAGTCTCAGTATAAGGAAGTTTATACTTTAGACAAGTTGCTATCTGTGCCTATTTCTGGTTTTTAATGTCTATGGCCAGGAACGCTGATATATAATAACCCCAAAAAGCATGTGGCCTCTTCCTCTAAGCCACGTTAAAAAGGAATTGCACAAACCTGCCAGTGCAAGTAAAGTTCCTATCGTTCACCTGTATGTATGTTTACTTTTCTAATGAAAGTTCTAGTCATCTTGAATGATAAGCAGCCAAAGGAATCATTTTATACATTCATGCCTGCTTCCATGAATACTAAAACGAACCTATTTACCACAGAAATATTAACTAGAACACCAAACTTTTCAGCTCTTTTTAATCCTTTGTAAGATTAGGTTTTACTGCCTGCCCGCCGCCACCCCCCCCCCCCACAAAATGTAGAAAGGCAAATGCATAGAAAAAACACTTTACTTTCATCATCTTATAAGAAATAGTGGCTATAATGTCACTCTGGACACAATTGATAATAGTAAGACCGTCAGCCGATTGTAGTGGCACATGCCTTTAATCCCAGCCCTCCAGAGGCAGAGGCAAGCTTGATCTGCATAGTGAGTTCCAGGCCAGCTGGGGCTGCAGGGAGATCCTGTTTCAAAAAGAGCCCCCCCAAAAAACAAAAACAAAAACAAAAGATGTTAAAAGTGGTACTGACACAAAAATAGAACTGTGGATTAATGGAACAAAATTGAAGACCCAAATATGAAGACATGCAATTTCAGCCACCAGATACTTGACAAAGGGGCCAAGAATATTCATGGGAGGAAAAACAGCATGTTCAGCAAATGGTGCTGGCAAAACTGGATCTCCACCTGTGGAAGAATGAACTAAATCCCTATCTTTCACCCTGCACAAAAGTCAGCTCCAAATGGATCAAAGACCTCAGTGTGAAGCTTGAAACTCTGAAACTGGCAATAATGTACAAGATATAGGTATAGGAAAGGATTTTCTAAACCGGACATCAATAGCTCAGGAAACAAGGTCAAGAATCAACAAATGGAACCTTATTAAATTAAAAGGATTCTGAACATCAAAAGACCAAGGAAGTGAAGAGAAAACCCACAGAATGGGAGAAAATCTTCACCAGTGACTCATCTGACAGAGGTTTAACATCCAGAATATATAACGGATGCAAAAAACATATATAACGGATGCAAAAAACAAACAAGAAAGGAAGTAAGCCAATTAAAAGATGGGCTAAGGAGCTGAACAGAGTTCTCAAAAAAGAAGTAAAGATGGCTATGAAGCATCTTAAGTGATGTTCAACATCACTTATAATTAGGGAAATGCAAACTAAAACCACTTTAAGATTCCATCTTACCCCAGTCAGACTGGCTAAGATCAAGAAAACAAATGATACCAAATGTTGGAGAGGATGTGGGGAAAGGGGAATAAAAAAAACTACAAATGAACCTACCATTTGACCCAGTTATACTGCTTCTTGGCATATACCCAAAGAACTCATGCTATTGCAGAGACACTTGTACATCCATGTTTGTTGCTGCTCTTTTCACAATAGCTAAGAGACGGAAGCAACCTAGGTGTCCCTCAATTGATGAGTGGATAATGAAAATGTGGTTCATATATACGATGGAGTTTTACTCAGCAGTAAAGAAAGATGAAATCATGAAACTTGCAGGTAAATGGATGGAACTAAAAACTGTTATACTAAGTGAAGTAACAGACTCAGAAAAAAATTGGCGTATATTCTCCCTCACATGTGGATCCTAGCACCAAATCCTTATATGTATCCAGAAATAACTATAGGGATCAGGATAATGAAAATGAACCAGGGAGTTAAAGGAAAAGAAAGAATCTGAAAGAGAAGAACAGTAGGAAACAGGCATTAATAAGGGAGATATGGATAAAAATGGGGTTATGTTAAGGGAAGGGTGAGGGAGGGTTATACAAGGAAACTTGGGGATAAAAGGAAAGAAGGCGCTCAAGAGAGGTAGCACCATAGGAGAAGGGTATTATTAAGGGAGAAATGGGAAAAATGGGGGCACTTTAAATGGGGAAACCATGGTGGAAGGGTTAGACAATACGAGAGATAAATAATGCCTAGTTTAAAAAAAAAAGAGGGAACCATATTAATTGAAAAACCCTACTGACAAATTATACATGCAACTAGCTCAAGGTATATATATCTAGGCAAGATTTAACTGAGAACATTTTGTCCTTGCCCAAGCTTTATCTACATAGCACATGGTAATTAAAAGTACCAGACTGGTGGAACTAAACTTCTTGGATGTTTAACAGCCATACTTTGAGGCCTACACTAATTTGGTCAGAGGGACATAAAGGACAGTTTTTGCTCCTTGCCCTCCTAGGTTGACTATGTTCCAGGGGACTATGAGCATCTCATAAAGTCCTGTAACCGTGCTGAGTCACCTGTCTTCTTGATCGAGGAGGCCTTAGAGACCCTACCAAATGGACTTGAACCAGTATCCAGTTTACAAAGAGGAGGGTCAACACAGAGGAAACATTTCCTCCATGCTTCCAAGTGAAGCCAGCCACAGTCGAGCAGGACATTTGACTTATCTTCACATAGATGAAACTGGTAAAAGAGAGGATCGAGGGGCTCCTCCCAAGCCCATGTGACTCCTGAGGAACAGATCCTCAAACGACCTTAAAAGTAAAAATAGATTGATTTATCTGGGCCAATTGTATGGCCCTAAACACCCAAAAACAAAAGTATAAGCAAAGATTAAAGGGATCAATAAAATTCTTTAAGAGTCCATGTGTGGACCTAAAGGCTACATAACAAGAAACAATGCCAGACAGGAGATACCTTCCTTTGAGTTGTTGACCAGGGTGGCCCAAGAGACTCCCAGACAGTAACCCAGCATAGAACTGGGAAAATGAACAGCAGACTCCAATCTTATCTAAAGGAATATTGGCAACAGCTTGCTGCTAGATGAGGAAGAGCTATCTTCCTAAAACAAGGATCTCTAGATAGGCTGACTAGACTCAGCGGATGGACAAACACTGGGGAACGGCTGGGGGCACTGACAACACAGTGGACAGTAACAGGGATGACAGAGTATATGGGTTCCAGTAGGTGGCGGGGAGGCTATGGGAGGGTGCCATTTGGGAAGTGGGTATACAGATGAATAAGATTGTTTAGGATGTTCTGTATGAAATACACACAAAAAATCAACAAATTAAAAAAAATGAGTTATATTTGAAAAAAAAATATGGGCTTCTCAGTAAAGCACTTGCTTAGCATGATTAAGTGATTAAGGCTCTGAGTTTGAACTCCAGTACATTAATTTATCCCTTAATGTATTCAATGTGTTTGTGGAACACTTATATGCTAAAACTCAGATTGGGTTACCAGCATGCAGACATAACCTTAGGGGGAGAAACAGTCAATATTTAAGAAAAGAAATAGGTAATTACATCTGAACTATAAAAGAACATGTACTTCCACAATCAGCAACATGAAGTCTTATTTTAAATATGCTTTTAATTATTTAAAACCTAGGATATTTTGTATTTTAGTACTTAAAATATCTCTGAATGATGGAAGTGTTATTTTCAGGGGTAACTAACTATAAGAAAGAATCAAAAAGGTTTTATTTTTATATGCATATGGCAGATTTACCCCTACTGGGGATCTTCTTAGAAGTATTCCATCAACATCAAAGAAGAAATCATTCATTTAGACAATTAGTAGTTAACATGCTTCTCAAAGATGCATTTGTAGTGACAGTTTGGAATCTGGACTCAATTTCCTAGGTTTATTCCAACTTTGCCACCTTTCCAACTGTGTTCCCTTGTAAAGGTAGTTACCACCTGTTTCTTCTCAGATGGTCTATTCACATCTATACACATACTTGTTAAATGAAACTCAATAAATAAATCAGGCACACTGCTCTATATACTTAATTTTAACTTAAAAAAACATCATCTACTCCTTTAATAAACGAAGTTTGGGGGTTTTCTTTGGTTGGTTTTGGCTTTTGAGCCAGAGT